ATTGAAGCAACTGCCATGTGATTGGTTGATTAGATAATTGCATTAATGAGAAATTGAACAGGTGTTCCTAATAATCCTTTAGGTGAGTGTATGTCAGCCTATTGTCCAATACCCCTTCATGGATCACTGCCTTGTCGTGGCGGTGGGGTTTGCGTAGCTCAATGAAGCTATGAGCTATACTGTGTAGGGCTACCCAAGACGGACAGGTCATAGCAGAGAGCTCTGTCAAAATGTGATCCACTGGAGAAGGAAATGGCAACCCACTCCAGTATCTTTGCCATGAAAACCCTATAGACGGTACCAAAAGGCAAAAAGATATGACGCTGGAAGATGAGCCCTTCAGGTTGGAAGGTGTCCAATATGCTACTGGGGAAGAGCAGAGAACTAGTACTAGTAGTGCCAGAAAGAATGATGCGACTGGGCCAAAGCCGAAAGGACGCTCAGCTGTGGATGTATCTGAAGGTGAAAGGAAAGTCCGATGCTGTAATGATTTTTACTTCATCGGAATCTGGAATGTAAGATCCATAAATCAAGGCAAGTGGTCAAACAAGAGATGACAAGACTGAACATCGACATCTTAGGAATCAGCAAACTAAAATGGACAGGAGAGGGTAAATTTAATTCAGATGACCATCAGGTATAATACGGTGGGCAAGAATCCCTCAGAAGAAATGGAGTAGCCTTCATAGTCAATAAAAGAGTAGGAAAAGCAGTACTGGGATACAATCCCCAAAATGACAGAATGATCTAAATTCAAATCCAAACCTTTCAACATCACAGTAATCCAAGTCTATGCCCCAACCACTGGTGCTGAAGAGGATGAAGTTGACCAGTTCTGTGAAGCCCTACAACAACTTCTAGAATGAACTCCAAAAAATGATGTCCTTTTCATCATGGGGGATTGGAATGCTAAAGTAGGAAGCCAAAAGATAACCGGAATAACAGGCAAGTTTGGCTTTGGTGTACAAAATGAAGCAGGACACAGGCTGGTGGAATTTTGTCAAGAGAATACGATGGTCATAGAAAACACTCTTTTCCAACAACCCAAGAGACGACGCTACACATGGACAACACCAGACGGCCAACACAGGAATCAAATTGACTTTGTGCTCTGCAGCCAAAGATGGAGAAGCTCTATACAGTCAGTAAAAACAAGACCGGGTGCTGACTGTGGCTCAGATCATGAGCTTCTCATTGCAACGTTTAGGCTTAAACTGAAGAAAGTAGGGAGAAGCATTAGACAGTTCAGGTATGAACTAAATCATATCCCTGATGGATATACAGTAGAGGTGGCAAATAGATTTAAAGAATTAGATCTGACAGACAGAGTGCCTGAAGAACTATGGATGGAGGTTCGCAACATTGCACAAGAGGTAGCAACTAAAACCATCCCAAAGAAAATGAAATACAAGAAAGCAAAATGGATGTCTGAGGAAGCTTTACAAATAGCTGAGGAAAGAAGGGAAGTGAAAGGCATGGGAGAAAGAGAAAGATACACCCAATTGAATGCAGAATTCCAGAGAATAGCTAGAAGAAAGAAGAATGCCTTCTTTAAATGAACAGTGCAAACAAATAGAAGAAAGCAATAGAATAGGGAGGACCAGAGATCTCTTCAAGAAAATTGGAGATATGAAGGGAACGTTTCATGCAAAGATGGGCATGATAAAGGACCAAAATGGCAGGGACCTAACAGACGCAGAAGACATTAAGAAGAGGTGGCAAAATTATACAGAAGAATTATACAAGAACGAGATTAACGTACCAGATAACCACGATGGGGTGGTCACTGACCTGGAGCCAGACATCCTGGAATATGAAGTCAAATGGGCTTTAGGAAGTCTAAGCAACAACAAAGCGAGCACTCATAGTGCCGGTAAAAAAATAACGTTGTATGCAGGGGCGGGGCAATTTTAACCCGTGTTTT